GGGTGGCAGAAGGTGGCCTAGGTAACATTCTCTGGATACCCTAGGCATTCTTTTTTTTTTTTCTTCTCCTTCCCCATCCAGGGGACAATCTTGATGCCACATTCTTTTCCATAGAGTCCAGCTTCTCAGATTTTCTCAGCATATATATTGAATAGGTATGGTGAGAGTACACAACCCTGATGTACACGTTTCTTAATTTTTTTTATTTATTAATTTTAACAAAAGTTTACAGAGACTTAGAATTTCCAGTCATTTGTTATATTTCTTAATTTTAAGCCGTATAATAGTCTCTTGCTCTGTCTGCAACAAACTCTTAGCCTTTGCATGAGCACAATTCAGTGCTCTGGGATTCGTATTCTTTTTATTGTCAGGCAAAATTTGTTATGATCCACAGAATAAAATGCCTTTGCACAGTCATAAAACACAAACAGACAATTTTCTGGTATTGTCTGCTTTCAGCCAGGATCCATTTGACATTGGCAGTGAGATTCCTTTTGCCATGGCCACTTCTAAACTCAGCTTGAACTTTTGACAGTTCTCTGTCTATGTATTCTCCTACCTGTTTTTGGATGAACTTCAGCAATACCTTGCTTTCATGTGATATTAATTCTATTATTTGATAATTTCTAGGTTCTGTTGTATATTTTTCCTTGGGAATGGTAACAAATATGGAGCTCTTCCTGTCAGTCAGCCAGGCAGCTGACCTCCAAGTGACCTGACACAGACAGCACATTCAGGGCTGCATGTCTTAGCTGAAACATGTCAAATGATAGCCAATCGATTCCTGGGGTCTTATTTTTTACCAGTGCCTTCAGTGCAGATTCAACTTCTTCCTTCAACACCACTAGCTCTTATCAAATGATATTTCCTGAAATATTTCAGTGTCGACAAATTCTTTTTGGTACAGTGATTCTATGTATTCCATCTTCTTTGGATGCTTCCTGAATCATTCAAGATTTTGCCCACAGAATCTCACAGTATTGCAACTTTAGGGTTGAATGTGTTTTTCAGTTCTTTCAGCTTGAAAAATGCTGAATGAGTTCTTCCCTTTTTTTCTCCATTCCAGATCTCTGCACATTCTGTTACAATACTTTGTCTTCTTGAACTCCCTTTTGAGAGTTTCCATTCAGCTTTTACTTCAGCATCTCTTCCCTGTTTTGGTTTCTAAATGATCTTGTGCAATTTTAAAACCCTCTTTGGCATTCATGTTAGTTTTATCCATCTCTTTGTAATGAACTTCTCTCTTCATAAATAACATCCCACAACTCATTGGATCTTCAATCATTGGTATTTAATTCTTCAAACCTGATCCTAAGATGATTTTTAAATTCAGGCATCAGCTGTGGGTCTTAGGTGGAATGCTTCAAAACTCACCAGGGCCCCTTCCTGCCACACCAACACAAGCCTTAAGTGGATCCAGCAACAATATATTCATATGCCTGATTTGCTGTTAGAGGTACATTGTATTATTTTACGTGTACCGTCAAATCAGATCTGACTGGTACAGGAGGAGATTGCCCCCTCCTTCTCCAGAAGAGCAGCTGGTGGATTTGAACCATGCACCTCTGAGACCGTAGTTGCAGCTCTGTTAGAGGTACATGTCTTATCAATTAGCTTCTGTTGTATTGGACGAATGATCTACAGAACAGCTGGTGGATTAAAACTGCGAACCTTCAAGACTTCAGTGCAGCTTCCTACCTACCACTAGGCCAGCAGAGTCCCTTAATTATTTTACAGCTTAACTATATATACTTTTACTTGTTTATCATTGTTATCAGTATACCACTTGTATACAGTTTGCTGTCCTGAGTTAACTTGTGGGTTGCTGTGATGCTGAAAGCTGTGCCAATGGTGTGTCAAATGCCAGAGGGGTCACCTATGGTGGACAGGTTTTAGGATTAAGACATCCTAGGGAGCAGGATGGGCCATCCACTTCTTACACAGCAGGCCTCTGAAATCCTATCAAGAACTTCCTACTCTCGAGACAAGGAAATAGAGCAGAAGTGAGATGGGAACTCAGATTTGTCTGCCTCCTTAGCTGTGGTCTCCTGCCTGAGGGAGGTTTAAGGTTATATTTGTGAGGTAGTTGTAGACTCTGTGCCTTAACTCCAGAAATGAGGGGCAGCACCTAAGAACAAAGGGGCCTAACTTAAAGGTCCTTTCCAACATCTACCCTCTTTTGTGCTATAGACCAACACAGAACACCCATATGAGCAAGGGCTCTGAACACAAGTTCTCTCGAAAACGAATCTCGCTTACCTTGTTTTCTTCTAATGATGCCAAGGGCTTGTTGACACTGTTGACAAATTTGTTGACATGCTCAAAGTGCTTTGTCATCTCTGTGGCTAGGACCATGTCAATAATACCTTGGCGCAGCACCCGATAGTCATTCCTGTTTCAGATGACAAATGAGAGACTTCTACAGATAACTATTCAGACAGAAAGGTTCTCCTGAAAACAACCCGCTACCGAGGGTGTGTGTACAATGAGGTTAGAAGTCTTAATTCACTGGAAGCGGAATGGTATACTTTAAAATGATACTGTAGAAATTGTAGGTTAGCATCTAGGCCACTTAGCAAGGAAAATGGCAAGAGAAGTTAAAATCAGAACCTGATGAGCAAGTTTTGATAGATGCAGTGTTTGTGCTATTGTCACTGCAATTCATGCAAATAGTCCTTAGTATAAAACAAAGTAGAAGTAAACTAAAATGAGCTTTTAAGATGGAGATGTGTGGTTACAGAGAATATTGCATGCACTCAAGAACTTTAAGACCCAAATATTATAGTAGCACTTTAAGGAATTTTGAGGGGAGATATTTTGACAACTGGGAAGGAGTACTTTCTGTCTCTTCTTCTAGTCTTTGTCTTCAATTTATTACCTCCTGAAGAGAACACCTGTGTAATTTAAAAAGGTGTGTAGTGAAGACTGACCTTTCCAGCTACCTAGTTCCTTTGCTTGGAGACAAGTACTAGAGTCTTGTGTATTTTTCTAGGGATAACTGAACAGATAAATATGGATGATATTTTAATTATACTACTGAAGTTCTGAAAGATAATAGAAGGGAGATTTATAAAATCAAGAAGTCTTTTTTTTTTAAAAAAAAATCTAAATCAATAGGCATTTCTCAGGATAATGTTTTTTCTTCTTGATTTGTTTGGTTCCTACTCTGTACCAAGCACTGTGCTAGCCTCTCATTCTTAGGGTTTTTAAACTGTATTTTATTTTCAAATAAGGTACTTACATATGTGATGCTGGCATAATATGATGCTTGCAAAAATGGTATAGCGTGAGAAGTTGGCTTCATATTGAGGAAAACATATGTCACAGGCACATTATTTGCATAAAAGAAAGAATGAAAATGTGGCAGGTTCATGAAAGAACTGGGGCTTGATTTATTAGAGGCTTAACTTAGTGTGGTGGATCAGAGAAAGCTTCCCAAAGAAGTGATGTGTAAACAATGATAAATTCACTGGGCAGAATGGTGCTTCCCAGGTAGGGAATTAAGGCTTCTCTGAGCCTCTATGACCTCGACATGTCAGCTTTATACTTCATCTTCTTGAAATATCAGATAATAAAAAGGATTAGACTTTGAAATCATGATACAAAGACATGAAAGGTCATAAATTATCTGATTCCATTTTAAGTGAAATACCTAGCATTTGTAAAGCTATGCTGAAACATAAGGGAGCCCCGGTGGCCTAGTGCACAGGGTGTTGTGCTGCTAACCCCAAGGTGGCACTCCTCTGATGGTTCAAATCCATCAGCAGTTCTGAGGGAGCAAGCTGGACAATCTATTCCTGTGCAACTGATGCCTCTGAAAACACGCTGGAAGGTCAGCTGAGTTGGCTCAATGACAATGAGCTAGAGACACCTAAACAGAGCAGTAATTACCACCCTTGGTACGAGCAGTCAGGAAATAAGGAGATACATTGCACTGGGAAAATCGGCAGTTAGGGATCTTTGCAAAATATTGAGGAGTAGTGATGTCAGTTTGAGGACAAATGTACATCTGATTCAGGCCATGATCTTTCCAATTACTAGCTATTCATCTGAGACCTGGACAATGAATAAGGATGACAGAAAAAGAATTGATGCCTTTGAGCTGTGGTGTTAGAGAAGAGCACTGAACATCCCATGGACGGCCCAGAAAACGAATAGCTAAGTCTTGGAGAGGGTGCAGCCAGAGTGCTCTTTCGAGGCAAGAATGATGAGGTTTCGCCTCACATACTTTGGACATGTTGCTAGGAGGTGCTATTCCTTGGAGAGGGACATGATGTTGGGAAGGGTGAAGGGTCGGTGAAGGAGAGGAAGGCTGTCAACCAGGTGGACAGATAAAGTGACTGCTGCAATGGGCTCTTGTGTGTCAGAGAGTGTGAGGATGGCACAGGACAGGACTAGGTTCAGATCTTTTGTTCAAAGGGTCTCTATGAGTCGTATGGCACCTAACAACAACAGGAAAAAAATAGGGAGATATAGGGAGTAAATGGTAATGGGTTTGAAGTTTCTTTTTAGTGTAACTAAATGTCCTAAAATTGATTGTGGTAATAGATGTATAAGTGAGTAAATAGAAACCACTGGATGATTTAAGTGGATGAACATATGTTGCATGAATTATATCTCAAAGTTATTTAAAAAAAGAGAGACCACCATGCATGATCTTTCCTAGTTAGGTCACTTACCTTTCCATGTTTTTAAAGATATTGCAGTTGTCGTCCTGAATGGTCAGCTGGAAGCCCAGCGCTGCATGGTGGCTCTCTAGGACAGCAATGTCATTATATAAAACGGCCAACTCACTGCTGGCATTACACAAGAAGGCGTTGGTTCTCCCGGGGTGATCCACGTCATGAATGGTGGCTGCAATGAGGGCAGCAACCTCATCAACAGGCTCTAAAGTTTGCTGAAAACAAGAGATCTTTTCAAAAGGAGACACAGCTCAAGAGGCAGGAAAGCCCTCTGCATGCTCAAGGGTTGGGTTTTTTTTTTTCCTGCCCTGTCACTTTAAGGGAAGAATGACTTTTGGGAAAAGTATATGATGAGAACAAATCCCATTTTCTTATCCCCAGCCTGAAAGTTTGATCTTTGCCTTTCTTTACTGAAAAATATAATCTAATATTCAGGCTTATACTTGAAGAGTCCTCAACAGAAATTAGTCCCCTCCTCAGTCAGACTTTTTCTTGACTCATTACAAAGAAAAGTCGAAGAGCGTAGATGAATGTAAACTAATAATCCCCAGACAAGACTGAATAAAAGAGAGAGGACTAATTTTTAAAGCTATGTGTCACTTACATAACTGGGACCGGGTCTAGCTTCCTTACCCCTTTCTTGTGGTACCTTTGTCAGGCCAGTATCAGAGCTTTATAAATCTAACATCCACATTTAGTTTAAGTATCTTGAGGTGGGTTTTGTTGTGTGTGTGTGGGGGGGTGAGTGCTTTATGCAGCCTGAAAAAATTCCTTAAAGGTCTAAAGGACTCACCTGTCCACTGGGAGCCAGGTTATGAAGAAATGAGATGAATTTAAAAATGTCTTCCATCATACTGATCTCCTGATTTTCTACTTCTTCCATCAATTCTATTTAAAACTTTTTTTTTTTTTAAAGAAAACCATCTATTTTCAGGTTTGAAATGTACAGGTGTGTACAGTGCTTTCTTCTGTCCTTTTCCATTTCAAATGTTTGGCTCTCTAGTCCTTGATTAAACCCTGATTCATAGGTTGAAATCTCTCTCAGGGAGGAGTGATAGGGAATGGCAAAGGACACACTGACAAAGGAGATTAATCAGAACTGGTTTTGACAAAGCACTGTGGCAATGGGACAATTAAAACAAACTTTCAAGGAATATTCAACCTGAATCCTTCTGATTATATGGAGATTTTTGAAAGTATTTCTTTGAGTTTATTATGTTTAATATGTATAATTTGTTTTATTTGTTTGTGTATAAAGGATGCTCATCTAGATGATAACATAATTATAAAAACAAAAGGGGGGAAATATGGGAAGCCAATACTAAATATTTGTAATAAACTGAATGCTATTTAAATAAAAAAACCCTGATTCATTTGACCAGAACTTCTATCCATTTTTCTTGGTTATTCCAAAGATCTATTTTGGATTTAACATTTTGTATTTCTTATGCTTTTATCTTGAAATGGTGACAGTATTAAAACTATGGGTTCCTGTTGGTGTCAGTCACCATTAAGCTGGTTGTGACTCACTGCCAGCCCTGTGCCACCTTCCTCAGCACTGATTCCTGCAGCCCAGGATGCACCTGGGAGGGTGTGAGCAGTGTTGGGCAGGGACTGGCCTGAGACACTTGCTGACTTTGAGGTATAGATCGGGGCCCGTAAATGGCAATATCTAAGGTAGTTGGTTATCCTAGCGGTAGTTCAAAGTGAACAGTCCTATGCTGACCCACAGAGCTCCTTGTTCTTTCTGATTACCTCTCCAGGACCTGATTGATCCTGGCTCTGTAGTCCTCTAACATGGCTGGAGGTGTGCCAGCAATGAGCACACAAACTCCCTAGAGCCACACCGCAGATTTAGGTCCACCTTCATGGAACCACACTCTGCACAAACTCCTGAGCAGTCACATCTCACGCCACTCTGGTGGGAGCAGAAGAAGGAGGCCCTCCCCACTGCTCCTCCCTGTCACACATGGGGAACAAACAGGAGGAGGAGACCCTCCCCACTGCTCCTCCCTGTCACACATGGGGAACAAGCAGGAGGAGGAGGCCCTCCCCACTGCTCCTGTCACACATGGGGAACAAGCAGGAGGAGGAGGCCCTCCCCACTGCTCCTGTCACACATGAGGAACAAGCAGGAGGCCCTCCCCACTGCTCCTCCCTGTCACACATGCAACACACACAACTCACCTTTATCCTCTGTTTGGACAGAAAGTAAGCAGTTGCATGCAGGACGTCAGCGGCATGTGTAGAGTTGTGGTAGGGGTTAGAAGAATGGTAATTGGTTTCAATAATTTGTAACCATGATCTGAGTGTTGATTCAGAGCAGTTTAAGAATTCACAAATTCCAAAACGTGCAAATATTCTGAGACCAAGATAAATCAATGGCCTAGGGAGACAGGAAGACAGAAAAACCAACCCCAAACAAACATGAACCATCTATAGCATTTAAACAAAGAACACCCTTCCTCCCCAAACAAAACAAAACAAAGCCAGGCAAAACCTTCTGAGCTGTAAAGAGGCTCAGACATAAATAGCCGAGCTGGCTGCAGAGCAGACAGGCAGGCAAGTGGAAGCTGCCCTGGGTGCCCTGTGCCAGCCCACACAGTGCCCAGCTCAAGCCCTCAGGGAACACAGGAGCCTAGCTCCAGCCTTCAGGGAACACTGACCCAGGAAGATCTGGCTGCCCAGGGATTCTGGCCTCACAGCCTCCTGTGGTGCTTCCGCTCCACTGTCCTTCCTGACTCAGCTTCTACTTGGTCTAGTGGATTCCCTCACATTGACACGGCAGGCTGAACTCATGGTACTTTGAACCTGTCCTCTGCTCTGGATGTGCATCACTGGACAGACATTCTGCGTGGAAGGAAGGATTTCCTGAGGACCAAATGTGAGACACATGCTGTCACATATCATGTGACTGACAAACTGGAGGTTGGTGTTCTAGGAGGAGGAGATTTCTTATGACCCACTGGCCATCCTTGGTAGAGTAATCCTTTAGTGGGGCCCTTGGCTTGAAAGGTAGAAAAACTTGGCTCTGGTGAGGCACAGAGGTGATCAGGCTTACAAGACTTGAACTGATCTGCCTGAACCTGAGACAGACAGATAGTTAACCTGGGTGCTGAAGAATTCACTTGCCATGGAAATATCCTTTCCCACTGTTGAAGGTAGACTACTTTGCCTTCTAGAATACCCCTGACTCCTGCCTGAGGTCCATGGGGAGTAGAGGGACCTGAAGGCTGGCTCATGATGGGAGGGGTAAGCACAGCACACCTCTCCTGCACTGATTTCTGTCTGCCAGCCCGAAGCCTCGCCACCGAGAGACAGCCTTTGTTTAAGCATCTGGTTCTGTGGATGTCCCTTTTATGTTCCAAGCCAGCTACCTTTTAGTTAACAAGTCTTCTCGAGCAAAGGTTAGAATCCCAATCCTGTGGTCACAGTTACGTCAGGGTGACTAGAATTTTTGGTGTTCCTAAGCCTGTAGCAATAACACTGGGCTCAGCTCTTGTTTGATATGTGAAAGTGTGTTTTAGGAAATTTATTTTGGACTCTGAGTGGTTCTTAGTAGTCATCTTAGCATATCATCATGTACAAGTGGAAGAAACATCCTCATTTCATGGACCAAAACTCTCATAATATCAAATTTGTTAATAAGCCTTTTCAGTTTCACTCTGGGTGAATCTGCTGTTGCCACAGTCATGGCCTGCAGAACAACCCCACCCCGCCCCACCCCCCTCTTCCCTGGCACCTGTGACTCAGGGCCTCTGATGAGGGACCAGCAAGGTTCAGAAATCACACTCCTGGGGGGGTGGGGGGGGATCTTCCCCACAGGCCCTCGAATCAAGCTCTCCATGTGCTAAGTTCCAAAGGGACTCACCTCTTGTGGGTGGCAGCCTCCAGTTCAAAAATGTCAAAGTCCCACTGTTCCTCTTTTTCCATAGTTTGAGCTATCCGTGGCGGGATATCGTGAAGGGTTATTTTGCCTGAAACCTGGTGAAGGGCTACAAAGGGATGCATTTTGGAAAAGACAATCAGTAGGCTTACAACACAACATAAGCAGATTATCAGGCAGGGCAGCTGCTTTGTCCCTGAGGTTTTATGACATACCAAGTCACCTGTTACTGGTGAGAACTTGAAAGCACTCTTCATCACTCAGGCCTGATTACAATTACAATGTATCACTAGTGATCAAAAAAGGGAAGCTTACTCTTTGGTGAAAGGATGCTGTCTGTCCCGGAGAGTCTTCGCAAACCATCCTGATAAGAAGCATGGAAACAAGAGTGAGGCACAATTATTGTTTTCTGCTTGAAGGCCTCAGGAGGTTGCTCAGAGAAGAGCTAACGACAGCCCTCCAGGCCAGTCTCCCCAAGGCTTCCACGTCCTAGCCAGCTCCGTCCTTGTGATTGCTGCTATGGACAACAGGTGCCCTCACAGCCGATCCCCGAGAGCACTGCATGCAGTGGACGCTGGCCCTGCTGGGAGCAAAACTCAGGGGCACCATCGAAGAGGTGAGCTAAAAGGGGAACCCAGAGCTTCTACCTTCAACTCTTCTCACCATTTACTTACTCCCTTTCTCACCTAACTTGTAAAGGATTTCTTTGGAAACTAGGACCTTTCCCACCCTTTAAGCAACTTCACTCCCTGTTCTGTGAGAAGCTAGTGTTGAGATGCTCCCAGCCGGCAAGGCCACACTTCATCCCTCAGTGGCGTCTCTGCTCCAGTCATGCAGACATTCGTTCCTCATCATGCTTCTCTCACACACTCGCCTCTAGGACATCCTCCTACATTTTCCTCCCTCTCACCAACTGGAGGAGCTTCTGTCTCAAACAGGCAAGCTCACAGATATCATCAATCAACTCTGGGAACCACTTGACCTGCCAAGGTCAATGCCTAAAACTTTCTTTTTATGAATTCAAATGAACTTAGAAAGAAAGTATGAGTTGGAAGAAGAGAGTGTAATTTATTTCTGGCAGTGGGGGGAGAGGGCAGCGGTGTGCTCCACAGTTGTTCTGACTGTGAGAAGCTCTGTACTGGACAGGCTGGAGGAGGTGTCCAGGCCTGGGAAGACTAGGACACACAGTCTACTCTTGGTGAAGTGTTCCCAAGTTCTTCCTTCCTGTGACTTATCACAATCGGGGCATGATGCTTGGAGGATGCAACCACGTCCCATCCTGGTATCTCTTTAAACACATATAGTAGTAGAAGAAGACTCCATCTGCATTTTTAAACTTGGTATGTACAATGTTTTCAAAATCTTGAAAACAAGTGAAAAATATTTAAATAAGTTGCTTACAGAAACCCAAGCAAAATTTGAGAACTGTTACAATATGATGCCAAACCTAAGCTCCTCTCCACATGGTGGTCTCCTTGGGTTGGGGCAGCAGGAGGGCTGCTGAGCTTCAACAAGGAAGGCAGTTAGGCCTAACTGTGGTAAGAAGCTTTGCTGCAATCCCAAAGGCATGTGGTTCAAAGCCACCAACTGTTCCATGGGAGAAGGATGGGCAATCTCCTTCCATGCATTGTACTGCCTCTCAAAACCCGCTGGAGGGTCAGCTATGAATCGGTTCTGACTTGGCAGCACACAACAACATCATCATCACCTCACCATTACTTTTCCAGAGAGTTCTCTTTATGTCATCTTTTAAAAAAAAAGTCTCTGCCAAAAACAGACAGCAGGTGTAAAAGACAGCAGCTCATATACTTACACACAGTAGGCCCCCAACGAGGTCGTTGGCGTGAGGATCAGCGTCTTTAGCACCGAACTGTGGTGAATATAGTTCAGTGGTTCTCAGAATTTCCAGCACGCGGTCTAAGGCTTCTGTCACAGGCATGGGACTGCTTTCCTGGGCAGCGTTGATAATATTAATTACCTACATCAGAGAGGGAAAAGCTTGAATTTCACAATCTTAACCACCAAGGAAAGCAATCCAGCGAGTGAAGCTGGCTAACCTTAGACTAGCTAAAATGCTCAAGGGACACATCTTCAGAGAACTGAGGGCTTTGTTACTATTATTGTTTCTGCAGGCCCCGTGTATTCTCTCTGGAAACAATCCACTGGGAGACTAAAGGACTTCCACATTGCTAAGGCCAGCCACAAACTACTTCACCTTGGTGATGGGTGTGTCGATCGTCATGGAATGTATCCGGGCCAAGGAGGAGTGTCGCCTCTGGCTTGTAGCTGTAGGGAAAGGGATGCTGACATCAGGGTGTGTACAACTTTGGACACCTGCCTTGGTGCAGGATCCCATGACTGCCCTTCCTCCCCCGGCTGCATAATCAGCTTTCTTTGCATCCCGGACAGCTCAGATTCTGGCAAACCAATTCCACTTCTTTCAGTTCTAGGCACTAGGATGCACGTGTCCCCACAGACAGAGCTGCTGATGTCATAGCCCAGAGAGAAAACAGGGGAAACAATCCCGCAAGTCAAAGCCACACAGTTGACCTCTTTTTGTTTCTGTAACACTGAGGCTTTATCATTACCCCACTAGCCAAGCTATCCAAGAGTAAATATGAGTATCACACAGGCCTTTGTTTTATACATGGCAGGAGCAATAAACACAACTCATCACTGGCTGAAAACACGGGCATTTCTGGTTAAGTTTGTCAAGGTATCACTTGGTTTGCTGTGTTTTATCTAGAGTGATGAAGTGAAAAGTGCCTTAGATGAGATAGGAAGCAGCACTTAGGATCTAACATGTGCTAATTCTTGGTTCCTCTGGGAGAGCCTGGGCTATGCACAGGCAGGAAAGGCACCACACAGAGTCCTGTGTGTTACTGTGAAAGCCCCACTATCAGGCAAATGCTGTTTACCAAAGGCCTTGTGGACCACAGCCTGATGCGTCAGCTTCATCCACAAACGAAGGGGTCAAGGCCTGAGCGGAGGCACTGTCCAGGCTAATCAACTGAGGTGCTCCAAAATGCTCCAGATTTCAGAACCAACAGAACTTCTGAAATTAGATTTTTATGACTGGCATAAGGGTAACAATGTCTCCTTTTCTCAATATTATTATGTCAGTAGAAGTACTTGTTTCATTTTTCATATAATGAAAGCGATGTTTAGAAAAGTTTATCAAGCAATAGTTTAGATGTAATAAAAGAAAAGAAATATGAGGTGTAACTGTAGGGAGAAAGTCTAAAAGAATCTACAAATACATTCTTTTTTCCAGTCAATGAGTAAGTCTGTCAAGGTTACTGGTTACATGGTCAACTTATAAAAATCAACTGATCTATCGATTTTTTTTTAAGACGCTGTTGAGTCAGACGACTCATAGCAACCCTCTGAAGGAAAGATCTGAACACTTGTATAACTTTCATCGTTTCTCCAAGTTCATAGAATTTCCAGAGGCAAGCTATTTTGGTAATGGATGCCACTCCTGCTTCCAAGCCTGTTTAAATTTGGGAGCTCCAACAAACACTGTTCACCATGGGTAACCATTATTGCATTTAACACATCAGTGTCACAGTGTTTAGCATCACAGCAACCGTAAGCTACCTCTGTACAGCAAATGGACAGACCAGTGCTATACCACTTATAAGAATGTTGGACCAAAACAATTAAAACCAGGCCTGAGGGCCACAGATTAAAATCACCCACCTTTGGCTTGGTAGCATAACTTTCTAGCCACTAGGCCAACAGAATTCTCTCTATTTTGTTGTTGTTAGGAGTCATAGAGTCGTAGATGACTCATCGTGACCCTATGAATGAAAGACCTGAACACTTGTATAAATTTTATCGTTTATCCATCAAGAAAACAAAAATCCTCACCAGCAGGCCAAGAGGCAACATGGAAAAAAGACTGAAATTATCACTATTTCATCTTACTTGGATCTACAAATAGACTTGTACCAGCAGCCAAGAAATCAAGAGGTGTTGCATTGGGAAAAATCTGCCATCAAAGACCTCTCCAGACTGCTGAAGAGCAATGATGCCAGATTAAAGACTAAGGTACATCTGATCCAAGCCTTTTCAATTACTTGTTATGCATCTAAAGTTGGATAATGACTAAGGATAACAGAAAAACTGATGCCTTTGAGTTGTAGTGTCAGAGGAGAGTGGTGAATATCTGATGGACTGTCAAAAAGAACAAACAAGTTTGTCTTGGAGGAAGTACAATCGGGGTTCTCCTTGGTGGCAAGGATGGTGGAGCTTCATCTCACATTCTTTGGAAATGTTGTTAGGAGGGGCCAGTCCTTGGAAAAGGACATCACACTTAGAAAGGTCAGCAAAAGAGAGGAAGAACTTACAAAAGATGGACCGACACAGTAACTTTAACAATAGGGTCACATATATCAGAGATGGTGAGGCAAGCACAGAATAGGACAGGGTTCAGGTCTGTTGTTCATAGAGTCACTGTGAGCTGTAGTCATATAAAAAAACAATTACAATAGCATCCAAAAGCATCTAGAGAAAGAAGTATAAGAAAAGATGCTTAAGATTTCTCATAGAAAATGTAAAACACTGCTCAGAAAATAAAGATCTAAATAAAATAAGACAGATGGCATGTTCATAATTTTAAAGGCTCGGTATTACTGAAATTTCACTTTCCCCAAGTTAGTCTATGCTGTTGTTAGGTGTTGTCAAGTCAACTCTAACTCCAAACGGCTCTGAATAATAGACCTACAGATTCAAGGAAATAACTTGGCAAGGTCTCAGAAGGGTATCTGTGTATATAACCTACAAAGTTGATGCCAAATATTCTATTGAAATTAAAGACAATTTCATGTTCTATACTGAAGTACAATGCTGTGCACGACAGGATACCATCCCTACTCATAAAAGACCCGTTAATATGCCTATTATGCAAATACACGATCCTATTGCTAAAGCCCAAAAGGAGGAAGTTGAAAATTTTTACCAAATCTTGAAGTCTGAAATTGACCAAACATGCAATCAAGATGCACTAATGAAGGGTGAAAAGAAAATCTACTGACTGAGAAAAAGTACTTGGCAATACCATTTCAGACAAGGGTCTCATAACAAAAGTTTATAGAATCCTACAAGGCCTCCAGAAGAAAAAGACTGATAACCCAATCACAAAATGGGCAAAATACATGGAAAGACTTTTCACAGAGAAAGACACAGAAAGGCCAGATAACCTTGAACTTTCTTCTATCAGATAGCAAGACAGCCTTTACCAAGGAAAGACCACCACAATCAACAGTGTGGTAGTGGTGACACCTTTACTATCTTCAGTGGGACAGAAAAGACCCACAGCAGCACCTGGCTGATGGTAATGGTACCATTCAAAAAGATAGAGGTTTGTTTTCTTCACTCCAGTACAGATCAGCTGATTACTTATGGGGGGAAATGACTATTTGACCTTCATACCACATATAAACATTAATTAGAAATAGATCACAGTACTAATAAGAAAAGTTAAGCTACCAGAAGAAAACATGGAGGAATATATTAATGATCTGGAAACAGAGAAAGATATATTAAGCACTAACCATAATATAAAACCATAATACAAAATATTAATATTTCAGACATGGCTAAAATTAAAATTAGAAATGTCTTTACACCAAGACACAAAGAAAATGAAAAGTCAGACTGAGGAAGAAAGAGCTGTGATTTAGATATCCATCAGACCCACACATAAAAATACATCAAGAATTCAAAAAATCTCATTAAGAAAAAGATTTAAGAATCCAATTATTAAAATGGCCAAAAGATTTGAACAGTATTTTCTAAAAGAGAATACTCAAATTGTCAATAATCATATGAAAAACTGCTCAAACTCATTAATTATCAGAAAAATGAAAACTGTACCCACTATGCTAAAATAAGAAATACAGGTATGACAAAACATGGGCAGGGCCATGGGAACTGATAAACATCAGTAATGGAGAAGAACGTGGTACAATCCACACCAGAGAACTGTTTCAAACAATTCTAGGACCCAGCAATTCCAGAGACAACATGAACATTTATGTAACAAAACACATAAGAATGTTCATGGTGGCCCTCAATGAGGAAAGGGATAAATAAATTGTGTGACAGTCTTACAGCTCTATGTGGCTAACAGAATATTCACATAATTAGGTGCTCTTCAGGCAGCTCAGGGGGCCTACTGCAATCCCAAAGGCATTCAGTTCGAATCCACCAGCTGCTTGAGGAAGGATAGGCCGTCTCCTCCCGTGTGGTCTACTACCTCCGAAAACCTGCCGGAGGGTCAGCTATGAGTTGGTTTCAACTTGATAGCAAACAACAGGGTCCTTTTCAGTTGCTCTGACTTATGCTGACCCTATGTGTAACAGAACACACCACAACAGACTTGTGTGATCCTCAGAAGGACTGAGACATCTTCCCCCATTGTTGCAGCCACTGTGTTGACGCATTTCATTGAGGGCTTTCCCCTTGTTTGCTGACTCTCTACCAAATATGCCACCCTCTTTCAGAGGTGGGCTCTTGTAATGCACACCCAAGGCATGTGAAATAAAGTCTGTCTCACCACCTCTGCTTCAAGGAAGCATTCTTCTAAGGCAATCAATATCCTTCACCAACATAGTAACACAATGGCATCATTCTTCTTTGGTCTTATTTATTTACCGTCCAGCTCTTGCATACATACAAGGTGAGTGAAATACCATGGCTTGGGTCAGGTCCACTGTAGTGCTCAAAGTGACATCTTTGTTTTTTAACATTTTTTTCCAAATTAATAGAATTTTATTACAAGAATCAGATGCATAGGACTTGTTCAGCCTCATTTCTGTAGCTGGAAAACTCCTAGCTATCACTTGTCAGCCTTCTGAACAGTTCCTTTTTTGGAGACATAGATATCATCCAAAAATTTTCAGATATCCTTGTTATTAACTGCTGTAGCTTGCTGAATCAAAGCAGCTGAATTAGATACAAGCTCAATGTCACTTCCTTCAAGAATTAACTCATCTTTCTGGGTGTGAGAGACTGAAAAAGCAACACCAGGTCTCATTCGAACTCTCTGTATTTTTCACCCAGGAAGATTCAAATTTCAACCAGAGATTCACTCTCTCGAACCACAACGTTGATGAGGAAATGAGCATACACAGACCTTGTCTTGTAACGAAAGCCCAGTCAGTGTAACACCCTTGATCATGTTCTGTATATGGCTACAGATGGTGCAAACAGCAGCCAGTTCCTTCCTGCTTCTCCATCATTTGCCAACACGAAGCCTTTTTCTTTCCCAGGAGAATGAG